CTGTCTGTCTCTCTGTCTCTGTCTCTCTCTCTTTCTCTCTCTCTCTCTCTCTCTCTCTCTCTCTCTCTCTCTCTCTCTCCCCTCCCTCTGTCCTGAACTCCATCATAAACAAAGGGAGATTTACGCTCGTTGCTAAAGTATTGTTTTTATCTCTCACTATAAGTGAACGACAACTCCCAGTGGAAAAATCACACCGGAATGCATTGCATCGTGGAGAAACTAAAAGCGTTCTGGTTGTATTCGGCACAAGTCAAAGCCAAAACGAGCGAAGGCTTTAGCATCTCGAAGCTTTCCAAACGCTGCCTGACTGAAGAAGGAGGTGAGTAAGAGTTTCGTAACTTTTCTTTTTAACTTATTGAATGTTCACTTTCTGGTCATTCGACAATGCCTGAAGATGCGCTGTTTGTAGACATACAACAATATTATGCATTCTATGAAATACTCGTATATAAACTCGTGTTTCTGATTTGTATATATGATGGTTCGAAATGTGCCGAAACGTTGCCTGTTTTTGCTGCTCCTCGGAGTATTTTCCCGATTTGTCTTTAAAGAGTTAAGTCATTGGCGCCAGAATACAAAACCATGTGGCACGGTTAGACAATCTTTTAGGGATAAAACGTAAGCCTATAGGGTGTGCATTATTGATTGATGATGCAAATATTTTTGAAATTCAAAGGGAAGCGAGAATTAGAAAGCAAATTGAATGCAATCTAGTTGGGAGCACAATTTGACTGTGGGTGGGCGTATTTCCCCTTTATCTTTTACCCTGTGGATTCCCTTCCAACACTTTCTTTGTTATGCAGCTCCATGACTTCCTGAGAGTATGTCTAGTCCATCGCCACCACCTTCTGTCTACCTCATCTCTGACCGGGATCTGTCTGTTTTCCTTAACACTTCCTCATTGGTGACCCTGTCTGTCCATCTGATCCTCAGTAACTTTCCTAGACACTTGCTAAAGAAAACCTGGATACTCTTTATGCAAGTCTGTGATGCGTTCTATGTCTCACATCAAAACAACAGGACTGACTTCACTTTTGAATTGAAAATCCTCAGCTTTGTTCGAAGTTAAATATATCTGGTCTGCCAAACCCTGTTCAAATATATGAAAGCGGTCTTTGCTTTTCCAATGCGGGACTCTATTTTAGCACCTGATCCTCCCTCTCTGTCAATTATACTCCCAATATAGCAGAAGGATTCAACGCCTTCTAGTGCATTTCCTTCTATTGTGATCTGCTCCTTTCATTGAGCATCTGTCCTTAGGACCTTTGACTTTTCAGGGTTGATCCTCAATCCAACAGACTCTGATAGGCTGTTTAATACTAAAGTTTTGCTTGCATCTTTCCCTGGGTGTGCGACAGAAGCGCCAAGTCATCTGCAAAATCCAGATCGTCCAACTGTGTCCATGGGGTCCGCTGTATACCATTTCTGTGTCCTCTGGTGGTTTCCTTCATCAGCCAATCAATCGCCAGTATGAAGAGGAAAGGTGATAGTAAACATCCATGTCTCATACCAATCTTGATGTAAAAGCTTCCAGTGAGCTGGCCGTCATGCTCAACCCTGCAACTTGTCCTTTCGTACGTGCTCTTGATGAGGTTCACCAACTTCGGTGGAATTCCGTGATGTCTTATTATCTTCAATAGTGTTGCTCGGTACTTACTGTCAAAGGCCTTCTCATAGTCTATGATGTTGACGATCAGCTGGGAGATCCACTCCAGGGACTGTTCAACAATGATCCTCATCATGGCAATCTGGTCTGGGGTTGAGTGATTTTTCTGGAAACCAGCCTGTTCACCCCGTAGTCTTAGATCCGTTGCAGTCTTGATTCTCTCCCGAATGATTCTGTTGAAGACCTTACCTGGTATTGAGAGAAGAGTGACCCCTTTGTAGTTGCTGCGGTTGCTGAGATCCCCCTTTTTTGGAAGCTTCACGGATTGTCCTTCTTTCTAATCCATTGGGAACTTACTCTCATTCCAGATCCTGGTTAACAGTGGGGGAGGAGGTCTGCCGTCACATTGGCATCAGCTTTTACGGTCTCCGGTGGAATCTGATCAGGACCAGACGCTTTAGAGTTTTTCAGCTTCTTAATGACATCCAGCGAATTATTGTGCCTAAGTAGTTTTATTTGGGTGTTCGTGGAGTTTTGCTTTTTATTTGAATACATTTTGTTTTGTCTCTTTAAACATTTTTGTGAATGTTTTGTTTTGATTTTAGTCAGAGAAGTAACTTTTTGGTGAAGAAAACTAGGTGGGGGCTGAAGCTGCTGGTCCGACGTCACCGTATATCACTGTTCAGCTCTATGACATAACCAGCCATGTCTGTTTCTCATACTTTAGGTTTGTGATACAACCATTCACGCCTCATTTTCATACTTTATCCAGAGATACTACCATCCATGTCTCATTCACACACCTTAGCTCTGAGATACAATCATTCAGTTATCATTCTCGTATTTTAGGTTTCTAATACAACCATTTACGACCATTCTCACATGTTAGCTCTATCGTTATAATGCTACCCAGCAACCACGGAACACAGCCTTTAACGTCACAGACTCACACTTTACTTTTTACAAACAGTCCCTTCACCAGTGAACTTTACAGCAACGCTGTCGGACAAGAATTCAAAGGTTGTTGTCCGCTTTTCTGAACTTGCTCCAATAGAGCGGCGACAGCCAGTACGCTTTTACTTCGTCAATAAGACATTGGATACCAGAAAGGGCGACCTCGATTACTGCGAAAAAGAAGTTAGGCCGTTTAAGGTAAGTGGGTCTGAAGAAGACAAGAAAGACAAGATAATGCATGAGTATATATATATA